TCTGAACTTGTTCCCACTCACCTATGCAGATAACATACCAAGATAGTATAATTCATTCTTCTGTGGGCAAAATATGGTGCTGTAATGGCTTCCCCTTTTAAAAGTGATTTTTTAAAACAAGACAAAAAAAAGCAAATACAAAACATAATATGGTACATGTAGATTGCTTACCTATATGGAAAAATCACCCTTTTGAACCCTTTAAAATTGTCTATTATCTATGAAAATATTGTTGAGAATTAGAGGAATACAATTAGTGTAAGTATCAGGGCCAGATTAAGGCCAATGGATGCCCCAAGCACAGTTCAAATACTGCTCCTCAATCCTTCCATTGCTAAAGTGGAAGAATATCAAGATTTAATCATTGCTGGAGTCCTCCAGTAAATGGCATGCCAAGTGGCAGGATGAACTTTTTTCCTGCTGACAAAAAGCTGACTTTGATTTACATCTGCACTGGACTACTGCAAGGATTTCGTATTTTACTAGTTTTTAAAAGAACTTTGCTGCTTTATTTTACTTTTTGAATATATTTATGATCTCTTTTTTATTCTAAGGAGATGGGAATTTTCTCTTTCTTTTTTATTTACTTTCTATTATGGGAAATGTTACCTTAATTTTTCCTGCAGATATTTACTTATTTTGTCTTTGAGAGGAATTGCCTATGTTTTGTTGTGAAAGTCCCTTGTGACCTCCAGACTGGAGTACTGCAACGTGCTCTACATGGGGCTGCCCTTGAAGAGTATTCGGCGACTTCAGCTTGTCCAGAATGCAGCTGCGCGAGCGATTGTGGGTGCGCCTCGATTCACCCACGTAACACCTATCCTCCGCGAGCTGCACTGGCTGCCTGTTGATCTCCGGGTACGCTTCAAGGTGCTAGTTGTCACCTACAAAGCCCTTCATGGTATTGGATCTGGGTACTTGAGAGACCGCCTACTGCCAATTACCTCCACTAGACCAATTAGATCCCACAGACTAGGCCTCCTCCGAATTCCATCAGCCGGCCAGTGTCGACTGGCGACTACCCGGAGGAGAGCCTTCTCTGTGGCTGCTCCGACCCTCTGGAACGAACTCCCCGTGGAGATTCATACCCTCTCCACCCTCCAGGCCTTCCGCATAGCCCTTAAAACCTGGCTGTTCCGACAGGCCTGGGGCTAACGACTCGTTGCCCCACTCGAATGGTATGACTGTTGTGTATGGTTTTATGTTTTTTTTGTTATTTGTTTGTATCTCCCCTCCCTTGAGTTGTGAGTCGCCCTGAGTCCCCTCAGGGAAAAGGGCGGCATATAAATAAATTAAAACTAAACTAAACTAAAACTAAAACTAAGTCCAGGTATAAAGGAAATGTGGATTACATTAAAACGAAAACTATACATTAAGGATTAACGTTATATATTATATAATTTTTAGAATGCTGACAAAAAGAGATACAAAGGAAAGATGAGAGCCTCATCAACTTAATGTCAAAGTCTTCTTGGAAGCTTTTGGGGGGAAAATGCTTACAAGCCCTGAATGAAAATTTAGATAAAAGTCTTGATGATGTAACAACAGTCATAAATCAACTTAAAGATGATACTCAAGTACAGGTAACAGCAGCTAAATCAGAGTTGCAATTGGGTAGATTGGAAGTCAATTTGTTGCTGACAGAATTGAAGGAGAATGCGTTTTGAGAATTGCAGGTTCTTTGGAGGGTGAAAGGGGCATGGATTTAAAAGGCTTAGTGATGGCCGTATGGATTAGTGATGAATTGGACTTTCTCAAGAAAACTGATGGAGATTGTGGATTATATTTATTCTATTCAATCAAAGATGAGATGTTGGTGGTTCAACTTGCACAAAAAACTTCTGAACAACAAGTGCTGTGGAGATATTCACAACAGAGAACTATGATTTTGGCGAATGAAATGCAATTGTTGGGAAAGATCCCAGCTATAATTTTAAGGAAAAAACTTTATTATTAATAATCAGTCAAAAATATTTGATCTTAGAAAGATCAGAGATAATGACTGCAATGATTTATGGTAGATTAGAAGCCATTGGGTACTTGCTGTGTGTGAAATACAGTAATAAATAGTTAACAGTGGCCTTTTAACTTTAGTTTTCTTGTTGGATTTATTTGTTAACTGTTTTTTTTACAGTAAATAGAGGGTAGGTCAAATTACCTGGAAGGTAGAGCTGTAGTTTATCAACTGTAGACCTTAGTTATGCAAATTATATATATATTCTTAAATATACTGTATATATCAGTATTCAACTGGAGATACAATATATGTATATATTTTAATGCATATTTTTGCCTATAGTTTTTGCTTTGTTTGTTGCCATTTCCCCCTTTTTCTGTTGAAATTGGTGTTTTAATTTTGGAAATACAATAAAAAATTATTAAGTTTCAATAACTTCTGAAAGGTAAGGGTAGCAGTGAAAGAGTTAAGGGCATGACAGCCCAGGGATAAAAAATGTGGTTCTCCCCTTCCTTTGATGTTCTAAGCACTGTGCTTACTTTGCTTAATGTGTTCAATCCAGGACTGATCAATGTTCAGTTGGGATAGACAATTTTTGAGGTGGCCTTCTTGTGCCTTTCAGGAACACCATACCATGAAACTCATCACATTGCTATTGTAAATCATTACCAAGGGAATCAGAAAAATGAGACTCTGTCTATATTTCTCTAATTGTTGATGTCCCCTCACCTCCCCAACCTTTTTCAGCATCTATAGCAGTTCTGTGTACTTTGACATATTCTGCAGAAAAGAATGGCGAAGACTGCAAAGCAGCTGATACAGCACTGATCCAGTGTGACATCCAAATCGAAGCAAATGCTGATTTGTTACAGCAGCCACCCAATTTCTATTCTTTTGTGATGATTTGGCTTATTCCTCATTAAGGTCTAACAAGACCTCTATCAACTCATCCCACGTCCATTTTTATGGCCTCCTTCTCAGGTTAGATATAGCTTTTTTTCTAACTCTAGCTGGCAGCTTACACATTTCTTTCAAAATACATAGCGCCTGGTCCAAAGCAAAATCTACAGAATACTGCAAGGGGAGAGGGGGAGATTAGGGATTATAAAATACAGGTACACCAAAAATTTACTTTATCTCAATTATGTTGATTTACTGCATGAAAAATGCTGTATCAGCAATTTTATGAAGCATTGATCTTGCAAGCAGACTCATTGTGGATTTAAGGCAGAAATAGATCACCAGTGGCCCTTCAAATGTTGGACTTCAACTTTCATGATACTCCATCACTGCTAAGGCTCATGGCAATTAAACCATATTTGGAAAGCAGTATGTTACCAATTCCTGGTTTTAAGCTACAAATCCCTGTCCCACCTGATTAACAAGGCACCAGTTTCTTAATAGCATCCATTGGTCTGATGTTCAGAGAAGTGGCTACATTATTGAAAGGCAATGACATTCAGCTTGTAATTGTGCAACACTCTATGTTTTGAACTGCAATCTGATATACAATAATTAAGGTGTACTTGACACCTCCTATGCAGTAAACTGTAATCTGGGTTTTCTGTCATGCTGAAATCTTAATACTGATACCTTTTTTTGGCAATTTCTTTACAATTTCCAAAATTGTCCACACACACCATTCCTTTCCCCTGATGAATTTGTTTATAAGCATATCTAACTTGATTGGGATTAATTTATTAGTAAAACAAAAAATGAATGTCCTGAATTAGATAGCAAACGATGTCTTGTCTTGATGTCTGTAATGATTTGGGTACCCAGGATACAGGCCAGATTTTTAGTACATTTCCTGCTAATTCTTGAGGTGTTAAGTTTTCAAAAAGAGTAGCAAAAAGTGAGAATGTAACAGTCCTGTGGCCAGCTTGCAGAGTGATTTAATAAACAGTTTTATTAGCTCCTCTGATGACTGAGACAATAATTATTGCTGAAGGCAACATTGCAACTATTCTCTTTTTTGTAGATACAAACATGGCTTGTGGGGATGGGGATTCATCTTTTCATAGTGACATCTTAAGTCACAGGAGTGAAAAGAAGTTGGCAACTCTAATGTGGAAATGCTTCCCTGGTTTTGGTGATGACAGGAAAGGCCAAACTTTCAGCACCAAAGTTCTGACTGCCTTTCACACAGTCTTAAGGATGAGTAAACCTGAAATTTGTTAAGGCATTTGGAACACATACTAATCATTGTTCGGTATATAGACATAGATATTAGAATCTTAAACGCTCGCCACTCTAGTAGGCAGCTGTCAACAAGCAGAGCTAATTAAGAATGACCCTTTATTTGTTTTCCCCCTGATTATTATGAGTATCTTTCACTCCATCTACCACTTCCTAATGTGAATAGAGATTGTATAGAAAGGGGCTCCACTAAACTAACTGGCACATATATCGAATCTGCTTAGCCTGGGCTGTTAAGTAAGTTTAATTAATTTACTAAGTTAATGTTCCAGAGCTAGCATGAAAGCATCATTGCTATCAGCTGGGTAGCAGGAATTGGAACCCTAAATGAGCTCATTTTTTCACAGTTGGAATTAGGGACCAGTTAGCCAGTTATATGGTTTTCCAATTTCTGCACTTGCCCTAAGGGAGTTGCAAGTTATTCATTCCCCAGGATTAAGTGTGAGTAAGAAAAAATAGCTACTTGGGATTTACTTCCATCTTTGACTCAAGCAGTGTCTATTCTCTTTAGTTTTCTGCCCTAGATGTGAATGTGTATGTTTGTTATTTTGAGAGGCTGGCAGTACAGCATCTCTAAGAAATGTTTCCTATGTGTATTTTTTTGTTGGAAAGGTTTGCAGATAAAGGTGTGTGTGTGTGTGTGTATGTGTGTGTGTGTGTAGTGGGGGGGGAAGCAAAACAAACAATAAAAGAATGGAAACAAAATTACAGAAATTTGCAAAGTTTGACAAATGGTGGTCTGGAGTTGCCACAAGCTAATGGCTTGCGATGATTAATAAGAGTAAAAATAATTGCATTTCATTAAGATTGATGACACCCCATTTAACCTCCCTTCTCGTTTCAGCCCTAAAGTGGAAAGAGATGAAGTTCTCATCTATAATAGCTCCTGTAACATTACCATGGAAACTGAGGCAGAGATGGAGTGTGAGGGACCTAATCAGCCAATTACCGCCAAGATTACTGAGATATGGAAAATCTGGGGCCAGAACACTCAGGTATAATCAAATCTTTTTTATAGACTGATTCAAACAGCTTAAAATTAAATTTGTAATATTGTGTACATTTAAGTGAAAAAAATAAATAAACCTTAGGCCAGGCAGAGGCAATATATAATTTTAAATGCTTTCCAACTGAATAGCCGATCTAATGCACAGCAAAGGAACTAATTCTTAACTACGGTTAACCACGCTTTAATAAATATGAATGAGGCCTGCTGTATTTAATTGCTTTCTGTTGTCTCTCTATTTTTGCAAGCTCCTTTCTTATAAATGATGCTCCTTCCTGCCTCTGTTGCTGCAATCAGAGATCACAATCACAGATTTTTTTCCCTGAGTTATTATGGTCTCTTCTCATGTTCTTCAGGCAATGGGCTATTAGCTAGTTGAAACAGGAAGATGATAAGCTTTATTGGAATATGGACTAGCAGTTAGATACTTCACGCATACTGCCAGATTTTTTTTTAAAGAAATCAATGTTGCCTCTTCAGTCCTTATGAAAGAATTAAAATAATTGAAACTATTTCTAAGTTGTGTTATTTTGAATAACATGGAGTTAATCAATTGACGTGTCATTCCTATATTCCATTAATATCTGTAAGAAATATAAATATTGCTTATACTTCTCTGTCTTTCTTCCCTTTGGTCCATATTTGGATTGCTCGCTGTAGGAAATCTATGTGTACACACATATATATTGTGTAACATTCAAGTGATTTTTTTTTAAAAAAATCCATTTTTGTCCAAAAAACTGGTAGTTTCTGTGCTATTCAGACAAATTCAGGGCAAGGGCCAAAAATAAATTCATGCAAATGGTATACTTATGTCTACTGGATGCATTTAAATTCTAGTAAGTATAATTAATACCCAATGAAGTCCTTCTTTTTCCTCAATTCAGCCTGTGTATACACTACTTAAGATTTCCTCAGTTGGGAGACATGTAATCTGCCAAGAGTCATTGCATTGCAGTGTGTAACAAATTGAATAAGTAAATAAAAATAAATAAACATTTTTAGTGTAAATTTGGGTAGATGGGGAAAATGACAAGAAAATCTGCTTGCATAGTTTTCAGTTTGAGTAGATTTTTTTTTCTTCGTGGAGGCAGCTTAGCCTTTTCATTATAGAGGTCTTTGCAGTTTAGCAGTAATTCCTTTTACCTTTTATCTTCTGGAAATGATAGGTAGAAAATGGTTTCAGGGTTAGGAGATGAGAAAATAGTTTGGGGATGATCCTTTAAAATTAAAACATCATTTAAATAAATGAATTTGTGGAAATGATAGGAGACTAAAACTTTAACTTGGCACAGGGACTGTAAGTTGGTCCTTTTTACATAGAGCCTGTGGGAGACATTTAATTAGCACCAGTCATACCAAGAATGAATGAATATAGAATTTGATTTCTTTACATTTTCCTGGCTTATATATAGGTCTTGATCTGGCCATATGCTACTTATTGTCATTCCTTTCTTTAATTAATATTGTGAGAAGGGAATTCTGGGACAGCCAAGCATCTACTTTTTCATATTTTTGATCTCTCTTCTCATCCATTACTATACATTTTCCTGAAGTCCTGGAACCAAATTCAGAATGAAAGACAAGACAGACAAGATGGATTTTTTGGTGGGATGGGAACTTTTCTTCACAAACTTAATGAAGTAAGAAGGGTCTATCGAGTCCAAACTCCTGTTCTCTGTAGGAATATAACTGAAAGGAGTCATGACTGACAGATGTCCTTTCTTTGCTTGATCACACTACATGAATGGGAGCTCACTGCCTCTCTGAGGGATTAGTTCCAGTGTTCTACTTTTAAGTGGCTTTACTCTTAAAAGTCCCCCTCCCTCACCCATAGTATTCAACTGGTTTCCACCTTTCCATCTTTTGGATTAAGGTCTGAAATGAGGGAGGTACTGTGATAACCATCTAGCAGCTTTTGCACAAGTAAACAATCAACATGTCTATTTACTATTGTATCCGAGAAGGCACACCATGCTTGGGGGCAAAAGTGCAATCAAGAGTTCCATTTCTATTTGCCACAAAAGAGTCTGGGCAGCATTAAATAGATGGGGCTGCTCTTATTTGTATTGCGCGGTTGATGTGAATGATCTAGGAAAGACATATTTGTGAAGAAGATAATTAAATTGTAAGATTGTGTAGCTGTCTTCACAACTATATATTACTGGAATGCTTGTTTTCTTAGTGATGCAAATGGTTGCCAAGTCTGTCACCTTACATATTTGAGGGACTGGAAATGCTGACCATTTCACACTGAGAAATGCAGTTGGAAACAATTCATGTGACTCATGTGAGTGTAAAGATAAGGTTTATATTTCTAACAATGGTTTGGGAATGAGGCAATAAAATGGAGCATATTACTTCAGACTACAATTTAATTGTTAAAATCATGAGTTATGGTTTATATAATTAACAGAAATGTTATCTGTGGAATTGGAAATAATGGTTTGGGTTCTCTGTAAATTTTGGTAATCTAACAGGAGTAGGAATAGATAGCTTTGTATCCTGGGAAGAAGCATATAGAGAATAATTTCATGCACAGAGAATTTACTACAGTCATTGAAACATTTTCATTGTCATGTTGCAAAGAGTTCCACATAGAATACATGCATACAAAGAAATTGTGTAGTCTGAAATTGTGAATTTGGGATTTAAATTTCCTGCTGATTACCTTTAATGGATGAGCACCATCAATTTCATTCTGAAGAAGAATAAATATCTATTCTCTTTCCCCCATCAATGGTTATCTTTATTCCACTTTCCTTATATGTTTTTAATATTTGTGGACATTTCTGCAATAGCACTCAGACTTATATACTGCTTTACAGTGCTTTACAGCCCTCTCTAAGTGGTTTACAGAGTCAGCTTATTGCTCCCAACAATGTGGGTCCTCCTTTTATTGACCTTGGAAAGATAGAAGGCTGAGTCAATCTTTAGCTGGTAGGATATGAACTATCAAATTTCTGGCAGTGGGCAGTCAATAGAATTAGCCTGCAATATGCATTTTAACCACTGTGCCACTACAGCTCATGATTTTAACAAGTGAACTGTAGTCTGAAGTAATATACATTTTATTGCCTCATTCCCAAACCATTCTGTTAGAAATATAATGATTTTGTATTTTGTATATTTGCTGTTGATCATATTGATCAAATTACATAGTAAATGTATGTGTTTGTATAGGGGTGTGTGTGTGTATACACACACGCGCGCGCATGCACACACACACACACACACACACACAGATCAGCTATTTTGTTTAGCTCACAGAGTTAGTTCTTGTTTTTTTGGAGATGCAAACTGTATTTAGTTCCTGCTGCCATTTTCTTGTTACACTACATGCAGCCTTTCTGTTGTAAAGAACTATGAATTGCAGAATCTTGAGTGTGTCAATTGAAGCCTAAGTAGCATGTATGTGTTGAGGAGGAGCAGATAGGTCAGATAAGTGGTTTCAATTTTACTTGACAGCCCCTTGCTAAGATTTATAGCACTGTGCAGTATATGCATGCTTCTACATAAAGGCTTTAATCATGTCATGCAAACTGCCCTTCCTTTCCCACTGGAAATAATGGTGCCAGTCAGAAAAAAATATGCATTAATGGCCTCTTGTATGTTAGGTTACAGTAATGGTGCTATTAGCAAGAGGTACAAAATGTCAGAGAAGTAATGGGACTTCACCTTTTTCCTTATACGTGGACATCTCTAAGGAATTTAGACAGTTCTGCATGCATTGGTTCAAAAAATGTCTTATCAGTTGGCATCTAACTTTGTTGGCATTAGCAAAATAAATTCATGTTGACACATACTTGATAGTTTTGAGAAATTCTGATATTGAGAAAATGATATGTCAACGTTTCACCATTCTTCCTTCATGAGAAAGCAAGTGATCTTTTACTTTCACAAGTAGCAATTCATTAAACCCCATTCAAAAGATCTTTCTTTCCTTCCTCTGCTTCAAATTATGTACTATAATTATTTATATAATTCTTGAGAATGGTAAGTCTACTTAATTTTACTTTTTTCTTGGTAAAAGTATATGAAGTAGAATTTCATAGGCTTACTAATGTAATATGCAATATGTATACTGTATAATATATAGTATGTAAGTATGCACAGTTGCAAACCTATTATAATGAATATACTTTTTTAAGAACTGAGAACCGAGAACAGACTGTCCTTATATTTCTGGACATTATTTTGCTTTAATGGCATTTTCCAGATTCTACTACTTTGTTTTGACCAAGCAAAACCCATATTTGCATGTTAGATGCTGCCTGCAGAACAAATGAACATATAGCTAAATAATAGTCTCCGGCTTTCCTCTGAAGTGTTAACTATGGAGCTGTGGTGGCACAGTAGTTAGAATGCAGTATTGCAGGCTACTTCTGCTATCTGCCAACTGCCAGCAATTTGGCAGTTCAATTGTTACCAGCTCAAGGTTGACTCAGCCTTCCATCCTTCTGAGGTTGGTAAAATGAGGAGTCAGATTGGTGAGGGAATTATGCTAGCTCTGTAAACCACTCAGAGATGGCTGTAAAGCACTGTGAAGCGGTATATAAGTTTAAGTGCTATTGCATCTTGATATTGATATTGCACTGATATTCCATCTGGGTGAGTAGTCATTTGATTTCTGTGATTTGCACTGTGGATTAAATGAATGAAATAGTTTGATGAAATATTATCAGCAAATGTTGGACTGTGGATTTGGGGAAAGATGAAAGGGCAGCTTGTTGGAAACTGGGTAATGAATTAAACTGGATGGAACACAGTTGACTGTAGTAAGACTTTCTGTTTGTAAAGGCTTTTGATAGACACAATTGTAGAAATTATGTTGTAAAATCAGAAATTGGTTAAGAAAGTAATGTATGGGGGCTTCTTGGTGAATACATCATGTGATTGGCTATACCATCACATGATGACCAAAGGATGAGGACAGCAATGCATTATCACTCATATGTTAAATATTTTGCCTATCTTTCATACATAATA